GGACTGTATGAGCTACGATCTGTGGGGGGCGGAAGTAAATCTCCTCCACACTTGACAGAAGGATCGAGGTATAGATATTATACAACCGCCGGAGCCTCTTTATAATAGAGGAGTAGGGGTTAACACAGAGAAGGTCGTTTCCCAAAACGAGTCCATAGCCCAACGTGTACATTTCCAGTTCCACTTTACAACCAGATGACGAAGCACAAATTGCTCTCCAACAAGTCTTTGATGCACGGTTTTTAATAGTTAAATTATAGTAAGACCAATCCCCATGTTCTTGACATTGTTTTCAAATCAGCTACGAAACCTCATAGTCAATGGAATTAAATGGAATCGATAGGCCTAAAAGAACAAATATCTTCCACTGACCTTTGTGCATAACATTTACGGAGAATTATTGAGCTAGAAAAATCTTCCCTTAAAAACACTTATTAAGGGACTTCCCTGGTGGCGCAGTGGTTAAGAATCCGCCTGCCAATGCAGGGACACGGGTTTGAGCCCTCGTCCAGGATCCCACATACCACGGAGCAACTAAGCCCGTGCACCACAACTAATGAGCCTGCACTCTAGAGCCCACGAACCGTAACTACTGAAGCCCGTCTCCCTAGAGCCCGTGCTCCGCCACAAGAGAAGCCACCGCAGTGAGAAGCCCGCGCACCGCAACGAAGAGTAGCCACCGCTCTCTGCAACTAGAGAGAAAGCCCATGCACAGCAACGAAGACCCAATGCAGCCAAAATAAATAAATAAATTTATTTGAAAAACATTGTCTAAAAAAAAAAAAATTTATTAAGTGTTTAGAGGACCTATGAAAATTATCCTGTAAGTACACATAAAATGTGAAAGTATTACTGCAACATGCTGTAAAATCATTTTGGAAGACACTACAGTTTTCTCAAAATTCATAATCAACTTGGATATATTTTATAGAAATGCTTTTTAATCCTACATTGTTAAAAATAGCCTCCTTAAAAGTAGGGCTTGGGCTTCCCTGGTGGCGCAGCGGTTGAGAGTCCGCCTGCCGATGCAGGGGACACGGATTCGTGCCCCGGTCTGGGAAGATCCCACAGGCCGCGGAGCGACTAGGCCCGTGAGCCATGGCCGCTGAGCCTGCGCGTCCGGAGCCTGTGCTCCGCAACGGGAGAGGCCACAACAGTGAGAGGCCCGCGTACCGCAAAAAAAAAAAAAAGCAGGGCTTACATTTCTGGTATGTTCCCAATGCAACCCTTATGGGATCAGAAGCATTCAGGTTCTGGGTGCTCAGTAAAAATCATGGGTAGTCATTAGGTCATCAAATAAGCTTCTGACTAATTTTTTCTAATAAATAAGATACATATTTCAATACCTACAAGTATGGTCAACATTATTACCCCACATGTTGACATGACTTTTGTCTTTCCAATGAAAAATTCTAGTGATAAGTATAGTTTTTACATTCCAAAAATAATACAGGCTTTTTAATTTTAAAAAATGCCTGAAATTTGCATTGTAATTTGACATTATATATCAAGATGTCTAAAAACTTTCCCACACTTTAACCCAGTAATATTGTTTCTGAAAAACCAGCCTAAAGATATAATCCGGGAATGGGAAGCTTTAAGCACAAATATTCATTAAAGTATTGCTGATAAAGTTGTCTTTTCTTTTAAATGTGGTTTCATGGTCCAAAGTTAAAGAAAGACTGACTTAAAACTGATCTGAGACAAATGTAACTAACCCAAAATGGAGGAATAGTTAAGTGAGCCATGTATCTATCTATTAACGCAACCACAAAAATTCATGTTTATAAAAAGTTCACAATGGCATGTTAAAGTGCTTATAACATTACTTACAAAAGGGGTAGAAAACATACAGTAATTTTATACAATTTAAATATTTAAAGCCTACTAATAAAAACTAGCCATGAGGGGACAACATCAAAAGAAATGCTTCAAAAACATTCACTGTTTGTTTTTTTCTTCTATTTTGAGACATTTTCCGAATTGTATCTAATGTGCATACCTGTTTCTATAATGGAGGAAAAATATCACTTTATTAAGGGTGGCACGGAGTGGGAGGGGCAGAGAACAAGCCCGAGGGTGTTGGGGGTAGGATAGGGTTGCATAAAGCTAAAGTATGCTTAAGTTCTCACTTAAGGGCTCATGTGTGTTGATGAAGATGGTATGCAGTATATCCTGCCAAGTGAATCCTGCCAAGTATATCCTTCTCAAGTGAAGTTGGAACTTGTCCTTTAAGCTCATTCTGAGCTTGGTATTGAGAAATACCAATAAGAAAGAGGTGCTTTGCTGTTGTTTCAACACTACTCAGCAAATACTGTTGCTGTCCCTGAATAACCACCCTCGCACGACAGGTCCCCACCATGTGTGTCATGTTCTTGGGCAAGGATGCACAGAAGTCAAACACAATCATCACCAGGCCCCGGGAAGAGGCGGTGCTGCCCTGCTTGGGAAATCACACTCCAAGAGACCTTTGTCAGATACTGGCTAAATATATCAGCCAGTGGCTGGGGACCAACTTTCCCTTCCATTTGCAGCAAATAGAAACAAAGTATCACTAAAGACTCTTTGTAAGTCACAGAAACCTAATGGGGATAAGTTAAACCAAAATTGATTGGAAATTGAGTCCTTTATAGAAGGAAAAACTAATCGTGTCTCCTTAAAGGATAAGGACCATGGTGGCGCTGAGTTCTCCATCAGGGCCACGTGGGCAATCCCTTTTTGGTAAGGCCATCTGACTCAGCTTCCACCATTTCTAATCTTGTCATTCCACTTATGATAAAAATGCCTGTGGAGAAACAGCAAAAGTACTATCTTAGACCATGTGCTGATCCCCTTGGCCAGGAGAAAGCCCCACCGAGATCTCAAGTATAGATGGATGTCATTCCCCAAAGGTAGGATGGCTACAGGCTGGGGTTTGCCCTAGACAATCCCAGTGTGTATCTGTTTTTTAGGAATAACTATAAGTAGCATCACTTTCACTCACAAACGTGTCCAAGTTTCGATAATAAATTGCATGATCACTCTATAAAAAGGAAAAACAGGGCATTGTTACCAAAGGGGGGAGAAGTGATGCTGAGTGGATGAAAATAGCCGCCATCACGAGACTCTTAGAAGAGGTCAACACAAAGTGTTTTGCACCCAATCTCTCAGGTTAAAGATAAGAATTAGCATCAAAAGCTTTTATCAGTCTTTTGCTTTCGACTCCAACATGAAAATAACATTCCTATACTCACCCCCTATGTTTTGAATTATTATGACTTTGACCCAATAATTCCATTCCCTTGTCTTCCTATGTCCTTGCTGCTAAACCCCTAACTGTTAAAATGTTCCCTTTTACGGCTGCTTTTTTTTTTTAATTTTAGTATATATATTTTTATAATATTGTGTTTCAGGTGTACAGCAAAGTTATTCAGTTATACATATGTGTTTTTACAGATTCTTTTCTATTATAGGTTATTACAAGTTATTGAATATAGCTGTGCTATGCAGTAAAACCTTGCTGTTTATTTTATGTATAGTAGTGTGTATCTGTTAGTCCTAAGCTCCTAATTTATCCCTTTGGTAAATTTATCTCTTATTTCCCCTTTGGTAACCATAAGTTTGTTCCTATGTGAGTGTATTTCTGTTTTGTGAATAAATTCATTTGTATTATTTTTTTAGATTCCACATATAAGTGATATCATACAATTGTCTTTCTCTGACTTGGGCAGAAGATCTAAATAGACATTTTCCCAAAGAAGACATACAGATAGCCAAAACGCACATGAAAAGATGTTCAACACTGCTAATTATTAGAGAACTGCAAATCAAAACTACAATGAGCTATCACCTCACACTGGTCAGAATGACCATCACCAAAAAGTCTACAAATATTAAATGCTGGAGAGGGTATGAGGAAAAGGAACTGCTACACTGTTGGTGGGAATGAAAATTGGTGCAGCCACTATGGAAAACAATATAGGTTCCTTAAAAAAGTAAAATAGAGTTACCATATGATCCAGCAACCCCACTCCTTGGTGTATGTTCAGAAATGACAAAAACCCTATTTGAAAAGATACCTGCATCCCAATGTTCATGGAAGCACTATTTACAACAGACAAGACACGGAAGCAACCTAAGTGTCCATCGACAGATGAATGGATAAAGAAGATGTGGTATATATAATATATACACAATGGAAATTAGTCAGTCATAAAAAAGAATGAATTATCATACGGCTGCTTTTTCAGCTTAATTTGTGCTCTTCTGCTTTCCGAAACAGAATGTTAACATCCATTCACCCAGCTGAAGGGTCAGGGTGATACCTGATCCAATATTCCCCAAAGCATGTGTAGGATAGTTGCTGTACCCCTGTTGCTGAGTAATAATGAGTCAAATAGTGCCTTTCACTCTGATTTCCTCCGAGAGGCTGTTCTACAAGCCTGGGGTCAACTTAAAGGAAGACGGGTTTTGTTTAATATTTTCTCTTTTCATTAGTGCACTTAAATTACTTTCTTGCAAACTCTGCTTGTTACCTAAATGTACTAGCACTTCTGTTACCTAATCAGCTTTCTTATCAGAATTCCAACCAAAAATAACAAGAAATGTGATAATGACAAGATATCCTGCCCCCTCAAAACAGATTTCCTTTCGCGCTTTCTCTCTTGGTACTGTTCTGGCTTGTTTAATTAAAGTATCAGAAATTATTAGACTCAAATTATTTCTTGATCTACTGCTCAAATTCTCCTGAAAAACTGCTGCTTCTGCCTCCGTATTTAAACTTTATCAGTGTGAGGCAGATGAGTTTCCACACGTATTCAACTGGATTCATGTAATTCAATATAAATTTGCAGGAAGAGCCTAATTTAGCCTCTAAGTAATTAGACGAACAAATCAGATTTGGCTACACTGAGCTACCATGGTTTACATACTCATGTCTCTTTTCTTGTGCTCTTCGATCAGCAAAATGAACAACACTAATGTGCAAAAAAAAGTATGAAACTTAGCACGGAGTTGTGAAATTCAAAGCAAAGATCTTATTTATTTTTTCATTAGAGGAGTGGGGGAAAAATCACCAAGTTCAAACCACTAGCATAAGTAGTCTTCAAGGAGGGTAGTCATGTCTGTTACAGGCTTTAAAAACACCGATGAGGAAGTACCCTTAAATCACAGCATTGAGAAGGAGAAAACTATAAGACATATTGGTTATTTGTCTTCCTCATACTCTGAAAAAATTGCAAGTTGGAATCTGTTTGCTTCTGGTGGAGCTGTGTGAGAGGTTCACTTTCTTTGAAGTCGTCCGCAATATGATCCCCTTTTGCACCGTCAAGCTTGGCTATCACAATTACCAAGCCGCCATTTTGAACTTGTGTTTTATTGGAACGTCAATCCTTACCCCGGTGTTTGCAGGATGGCTTGCTGATGTATGTCTAGGAAGAAACAAACTGGTACAGGTTTGCTTATTTCTGCATTTTCTAGGTGAGTGTCCACTTCTGACTGGATTGTTTTACAACTTATTTTAGTGGATTTTTATTAGAACGTTTGATTTATGCTATACCCACTTTGTTTTAGCATAAGATGGAATAAATGAGCTAAGAATGTTGCTTCAATTTAGTTTATTCTCTGTATTATTTGAGGGATACTACTAAGTGTGTGTGTGTGTGTGTGTGTGTTAGAGGATGCTTTGATACTTTTATCATTGCACTGATTATATTTTATAATAATTATCTCTTTAAATGTCTGTTTTCTATACTCTGCAGAATTCCCTCCTTTCCCCCCTTCCTACCACAAGCCAAAATTTGTGACAAATTCTATGTGAAATATGAAGTTCATTTGCTTCACAACTAAAGTGAAGTGTGCTAAAAAGTTGTTTTGAAGTACATGTAGAAACGTTTTCATCAAAAGGTGGTCTTTTAATTAGTCATATAATAATTAAGATTGCACTTGAAGACATGATTTCCATATTATGAAGTATGGCTACATGCTAAAAAATGAATGAATTTAACGCTACACTGTGCTTCTTTACATAACAAAAAAGAAATAGATCTACAAAAGTTTGGGAGTGATGTGATTGCAAGCAATGTTGGGGAAATATCAAATTTGTCTGATATGAAATAGAGATCAAGTTGATGAACAGTCTAGAAATTTAGGCTGGGAAGTTCAGGTTGCTCTTCTAGACAAGAAGGAGTTACTGAAGATATGAACACATTTGTGAAATGCTTCAATAAACAGGACTGACAATCACAGTGAGAGGTTAGAGAGAGAACAGAAAATCTCAGGATGTTGGTCTAGGTGATGGAGGAGTGTCAATCCAGGAAAGAACATAAAACCATAAAAACTCATCAACTATGTAAGGTCACAAATATGATGGAAATTAACTCCAAGTTCTGAGCTGAGGAACTTAGGTAGGCAGTTCATCAAAACTGACCAGTGCAGCAGAAATGCAGTTTTGGGGGACAGGGGAGGTGAATGAGGAAGTGATGGGTATCAGCTACTCAACCTACACACAATTCCAATCAGATGGTAAAGTACCATTCACTGAATCGATCAGAGCGTGATTCAAACTTGATTCTTCATTGTTTCAGTTCCATGAAATAAAAACTAAGTCACTGCATGGCAAATATTTGTTCACCATTCCATAAGTGTTTCTCATTGACTACTCTGTGCTAGACATTGTTCCAGGATCTGGAACCCAACAGAGAAGAAAGCAGTCTCTTTTCTTATGAAGTTGACTTTCTGATGTGGGGAGAGGGAAAATCAAGTAATAAATAGCTATTATGTTGGGTGGTAATGTGTGATGATGAAAAAAAAGCTGGGGAAGGGGACAGGATGGACTAGAGAGTGACAAGGTGGCTCTTCTGTGTCAGGGAATGTTTTCTGATGAGGAGACACTGAAGCATGATTTACTCTTCTTCACTTGGTAACAGGTCATGTCAGTGGCATTAGGTAACTTCTTGTTTAACATGGTGATTCCCATCAGTCTAAATTCCTGTGTAAGTCATCAGACTAGGACTGAAGTCCCAACTTAGAATTTGGCAAACAGAAGGCAAGTCAATTCCACGACCATTCAGTTTCCTACTCAAAGTTGTTTCCTGGTGTCCCCCACTCATGGATGTCATAAAATTCCAACCAGTCACTAAGTATCAGAGGTTCCATCAAAAATGTGTCTTCTGTCTGTATTGCTACAACCTTAGCTCAAAAATGCAGCCTTCATCTTCTTGACCATTACAGTGGCCTGCTTACTGGCTGTCAGTCATCAGTGTGACCCCAATGCTGTTTCTACCAAAAAACACTGACTTCCTAAAAGAATAAATCTATACATTGGCTCTATTATCTAAAATGTAAAAGCCAATTTAGTTTATAAGAACCTTTAGAACCTGTCCCAAATTTACCTCTCCAAACTTCTGTCTCAGTACACGACCCCAATCAGGCGGAACTTCTCCTCACGGGCTTCCCTACTTTTCTAATGTTACATCTGCTCTTTTCTCTGCCTGAAATTGTCATTTTCCTTTACCTTTCCATCCCATATCCGAGACATGAAAACTCCTGGCCCTTCCTTCAAGATTCATGTAGTGGGAGGCTTCCGGGAAGATGGCGGAAGAGTAAGACGCGGAAATCACCTTCACCCCCACAGATACACCAGAAATACATCTACACGTGGAACTACTCCTACAGAACACCTACTGAACGCTGGCAGAAGACCTCAGACCTCCCAAAAGGCAAGAACCCCCCCGTGTACCTGGGTAGGGCAAAAGAAAAAAGAAAAAACAGAGACAAAAGAATAGGGACGGGACCTGCACCAGCGGGAGGGAGCTGTGAAGGAGGAAAGATTTCCACACACTAGGAAGCCCCTTCGCGGGCGGAGACTGCGGGTGGCGGAGGGGGAAGGTTCGGAGCCGCGGAGGGCAAAGCGGAGAGATTCCCGCACAGAGAATCAGGGCCGACAGGCACTCACCAGGCCGAGAGGCTTGTCTGCTCACCCGCCGGGGCGGGCGGGGCTGGGAGCTGAGGCTCGGGCTTCGGTCGGATCCCAGGGAGAGGCCTGGGGTTGGCGGTGTGAACACAGCCTGCAGGGGGTTAGTGCGCCACGGCTGGCCGGGAGGGAGTCCGGGGAAAAGTCTAGAGCTGCCGAAGAAGCAAGAGACTTTTTCTTCCCTCTTTGTTTCCTGGTGCGCGAGGAGAGGAGATTAAGAGCGCTGCTTAAAGGAGCTCCAGAGACGGGCGCGAGCCGCGGCTAAAAGCGCGGACCCCAGAGACGGGCATGAGACGCTAAGGCTGCTGCTGCCGCCACCAAGAAGCCTGTGTGCGAGCACAGGTCACTATCCACAACCCCCTTCTGGGGAGCCTGTGCAGCCCGCCACTGCCAGGGTCCCGGGATCCAGGGTCAACTCCCCCAGGAGAACGCACAGCGCGCCTCAGGCTGGTGCAACGTCTCGCAGGCCTCTGCTGCCGCAGGCTCGCCCCGCCCTCCGTGCTCCTCCCTCCCCCCCGGCCTGATTGAGCCAGAGCCCCCGAAGCAGCTGCGCCTTTAACCCCGTCCTGTCTGAGCGAAGAACAGACGCCCTCCGGCGACCTACACGCAGAGGCGGAGCCAAATCCAAAGCTGAGCCCCTGGGAGCTGTGAGAACAAAGAAGAGAAAGGGAAATCTCTCCCAGCAGCTTCAGGAGCAGCGGATTAAAGCGCCACAATCAACTTGATGTACCCTGCATCTGTGGAATACATGAATAGACAACGAATCATCCCAAATTAAGGAGGTGGACTTGAGAATAAGATTTATTATTTTTTCCCCTTTTCCTCTTTTTGTGAGTGTGTATGTGTATGCTTCTGTGTGTGATTTTGTCTGTAAAGCTTTGCTTCCACCATTTGTCCTAGGGTTCTCTCCGTCCGTTTTTTAAATTTTTTTCTCTTAATAATTATTTTTTTATTTTAATAACTTTATTATATTTTATATTACTTTATTTTACTTTTCTCCTTTCTTTTTTTCCTTCCTTCCCTCCTTCCTTCCCCCTTCCTTCCTTCCTTTCTTTCTTTCTTTCTTTCTTTCTTTCTTTCTTTCTTTCTTTCTTTCTCCTTCTACTAATTCATTCTTTCTACTTTTTCTCCCTTTTATTCTGAGCCGTGTAGATGAAAGGCTCTTGGTGCAGCAGCCAGGAGTCAGTGCTGTGCCTCTGAGGAGGGAGAGCCAACTTCAGGACACTGGTCCACAAGAGACCTCCCAGCTCCACATAATATCAAATGGTGAAAATCTCCCAGAGATCTCCATCTCAACACCAGCACCCAGCTTCACTCAATGACCAGCAAGCTACAGTGCTGGACATCCTATGCCAAACAACTAGCAAGACAGGAACACAACCCCACCCATTGGCAGAGAGGCTGCCTAAAATCATAACAAGTCCACAGACACCCCAAAACACACCACCAGACGTGGACCTGCCCACCAGAAAGACAAGATCCAGCCTCATCCACCAGAACACAGGCACTAGTCTCCTCCACCAGGAAGCCTACACAACCCACTGAACCAACCTTAGCCACTGGGGACAGACACGAAAAACAACAGGAACTACGAACCTGCAGCCTGCAAAAAGGAGACCCCAAACACAGTAAGATAAGCAAAATGAGAAGACAGAAAAACAGCAGATGAAGGAGCAAGATAAAAACCCACCAGACCTAACAAATGAAGAGGAAATAGGCAGTCTACCTGAAAAAGAATTCAGAATAATGATAGTAAAGATGATCCAAAATCTTGGAAATAGAACAGACAAAATGCAGGAAATATTTCACAAGGACCTAGAAGAACTAAAGATGAAACAAACAACGATGAACAACACAATAAATGAAATTAAAAGTACTCTAGATGGGATCAATAGCAGAGTAGCTGAGGCAGAAGAACGGATAAGTGACCTGGAAGATAAAATAGTGGAAATAACTACTGCAGAGCAGAATAAAGAAAAAAGAATGAAATGCCAATAAAATGGACAGCCTGGAAGAAATGGACAAATTCTTAGAAATGCACAACCTGCCAAGACTGAATCAGGAAGAAATAGAAAATATGAACAGACCAATCACAAGCACTGAAATTGAAACTGTGATTAAAAATCTTCCAACAAACAAAAGCCCAGGACCAGATGGCTTCACAGGCGAATTCTATCAAACATTTAGAGAAGAGTTAACACCTATCCTTCTCAAACTCTTCCAAAATATAGCAGAGGGAGGAACACTCCCAAACTAATTCTACGAGGCCACCATCACCCTGATACCAAAACCAGACAAGGATGTCACAAAGAAAGAAAACTACAGGCCAATATCACTGATGAACATAGATGCAAAAATCCTCAACAAAATACTAGCAAGCAGAATCCAACAGCACATTAAATGGATCATACACCATGACCAAGTGGGGTTTATTCCAGGAATGCAAGGATTCCTCAATATATGCAAATCAATCAATGTGATACACCATATTAACAAATTGAAGGAGAAAAAACATATGAGCATCTCATTAGATGCAGAGAAAGCTTTCAACAAAATTCAACACCCATTTATGATAAAAACCCTGTAGAAAGTAGGCATAGAGGGAACTTTCCTTCAACATAATAAAGGCCATATATGACAAACCCACAGCCAACATTGTCCTCAATGGTGAAAAACTGAAAGCATTTCCACTAAGATAAGGAAAAACACAAGGTTGCCCACTGTCACCACTCTTATTCAACATAGTTTTGGAAGTTTTAGCCACAGCAATCAGAGAAGAAAAGGAAGTAAAAGGTATCCAAATCGGAAAAGAAGAAAGCTGTCACTGTTTGCAGATGGCATGATACTATACATAGAGAATCCTAAAGATGCTACCAGAAAACTACTAGAGCTAATCAATGAATTTGGTAAAGTAGCAGGATACAAAATTAATGCACAGAAATCTCTTGCATTCCTATACACTAATGATGAAAAATATGAAAGAGAAATTAAGGAAACACTCCCATTTACCATGGCGACAAAAAGAATGAAATACCTAAGAAGAAACCTACCTAAGGAGACAAAAGACCTGTATGTAGAAAACTATGACACTGATGAAAGAAATTAAAGATGATACAAATAGATGGAGAGATATACCATGTTCTTGGATTGGAAGAATCAACATTGTGAAAATGACTCTACTACCCAAAGCAATCTACAGATTCAATGCAATCCCTATCAAACTACCACTGGCATTTTTCACAGAACTAGAACAAAAACTTTCACAATTTGTATGGAAACACAAAAGACCCTGAATAGCCAAAGCAATCTTGAGAATGAAAAACGGAGCTGGAGGAATCAGGCTCCTTGACTTCAGACTATACTACAAAGCTACAGTAATCAAGACAGTGTGGTACTGGCACAAAAACAGAAAGATAGATCAATGGAACAGGATAGAGAGCCCAGAGATAAACCCACGCACATATGGTCACCTTATCTTTGATAAAGGAGGCAGGAATGTACAGTGGAGAAAGGACAGCCTCTTCAATAAGTGGTGCTGGGAAAACTGGACAGGTACATATAAAAGTATGAGATTAGATCACTCCCTAACACCATACACAAAAATAAGCTCAAAATGGATTAAAGACCTAAATGTAAGCCCAGAAACTATCAAACTCTTAGAGGAAAACACAGGCAGAACACTCTATGACATAAATCACAGCAAGATCCTTTTTGACCCACCTTGTAGAGAAATGGAAATAAAAATAAACAAATGGGACCTAATGAAACTTCAAAGCTTTTGCACAGCAAAGGAAACCATAAACAAGACCAAAAGACAACCCTCAGAATGGGAGAAAATATTTGCAAATGAAGCAACTGACAAAGGATTAATCTCCAAAATTTATAAGCAGCTCATGCAGCTCAATAACAAAAAACCAAGCAACCCAATCCAAAAATGGGCAGAAGATCTAAACAGACATTTCTCCAAAGAAGATATACAGACTGCCAACAAACACATGAAAGAATGCTCAACATCATTAATCATTAGAGAAATGCAAATCAAAACCACAATGAGATATCATCTCACACCAGTCAGAATGGCCATCATCAAAAAATCTAGAAACAAATAAATGCTGGAGAGGGTGTGGAGAAAAGGGAACCCTCTTGCACTGCTGGTGGGAATGTAAATTGATACAGCCACTGTGGAGAACAGTATGGAGGTTCCTTAAAAAACTGCAAATAGAACTACCATATGACCCAGCAATCCCACTACTGGGCATATACCCTGAGAAAACCATAATTCAAAAAGAGTCATGTACCAAAATGTTCATTGCAGCTCTATTTACAATAGCCCAGAGATGGAAACAACCTAAGTGCCCATCATCGGATGAATGGATAAAGAAGATGTGGCCTATATATACAATGGAATATTACTCAGCCATAAAAAGAAACGAAATTGAGCTATTTGTAATGAGGTGGATAGACCTAGAGTCTGTCATACAGAGTGAAGTAAGTCAGAAAGAGAAAGACAAATACCGTATGCTAACACATATATATGGAATTTAAGGAAAAAAATGTCATGAAGAACCTAGGGGTAAGACAGGAATAAAGACACAGACCTACTAGAGAATGGACTTGTGGATATGGGGAGGGGGAAGGGTAAGCTGTGACAAAGCGAGAGAGAGGCATGGACATATATACACTACCAAACGTAAGGTAGATAGCTAGTGGGAAGCAGCCGCATAGCACAGGGAGATCAGCTCGGTGCTTTGCGACCACCTAGAGGGGTGGGATAGGGAGGGTGGGAGGGAGGGAGACCCAAGAGGGAAGAGATATGGGGATATATGTATACATACAGCTGATTCACTTTGTTATAAAGCAGAAACTAACACACCATTGGAAAGCAGTTATACTCCAATAAAGATGTTAAAAAAAAAAAAAAGATTCACGTAGTGTTCGTTGCTAGCTCCTCTGTGCTCAGCCACGCTCTGATCATACCCAAGTGATTGCATTTGCCCCATTATAATTGTCCACCTGCATGTGTGCCTTCTCCGATGGATGCATTCGCTCCTGATGGGAGGAACCAGCAGACCCCCACCACCTAGCAAGAGATATGACACATAATGGTGCTTTATACAGAGCTACCAAGTACAGGTGTGCGGACTGTGCACTGAACAATAGCACACATCAACAAGGAATCTTTTTATCTTATATGTCAATGACTTGTATTTTTATTACATCAATTTTAAAGTAGATAGAAATAAAGTTTTTACCTACTGCAATCAGTGTATTATGACATTTTTCAAAAGATGGAAGTAAAGTGCCTTTCAAATTTACACAAAGTTACCACTAAAAGAATTTGTCTTTAAATAGATGGCTGCTGCAAGAAGCAGTTCTCTGTCCATCCTCTTTGGATAACCTTAGCCTAGCCAGGCCTCACGTGACACTTCCAGAGATAAAGACTGAGTGGCAGAGAGAGAGAGGGAGAAGTTAGCTGCACATCTGGCTCACCTTAACAGGAAACATTTCAAACTCAGTAAAGGGCCCACCCTCATGGTAAATCAATCTGTTACCAAACAACTATTAAGGGCATGCATTCTTCACATTGCAAAAGCCACTGTATGGGAGATGGAAACATTAGGCCCAGTTTTTGCCTTTAATACCCTTATAGTCTAATTGAGAAAACTAACCACATAAAATGACTATATAAAAATTTATACCAAAAAAGTGTGAATGCCAAGTTAATAAAATGGAGTTGAAAACTAACATGGAGAAGCCATTTTTCCCTAATCAAATTGACCCCCCCCCCAAAAAAAATTGATCTGATCATGTGATAACAGGAATTTCAAGAAGAGGGAGATCACAACTGGGTTACTCCGTAACATTGGGTCACTTAGCCTCAACAAACCTGTTTCTTTTTTTTTCTTTTTTTTTGAAAAATCAGAATTAAAAAAAAAAATCTGTCCTCTGTCATCACAAAGTTTTTCCAAGATCAAACAATGTAGTACACAAAGATGTTTTGCAAACTATAAATAGCTTAGCAAAAGTATGGAATTGAGTGGTAATTATTAGACAAGGAAAGTCTTCAAGTTTGATCCCTGCAAGACGGAAGTGAGAAGGCAGCTTAATCTTCTTTTTGTTGGTTTGTTTTTGGGTTTGATTGAAGTCTGGTTGATTTACAATGTCGTGTTAGTTTCAGGTGTACAGCAAAGTGATTTCAACCTTCCTTTGTCATTCTCTCCTCCCTCCTTCCCACCTGTACTGCATTACTCACCTCACACCCATCCCCAGCCTTCTCACCTATGTGTGTGGCAAAGGAGGCTCCACGCCACTACAGGAGAAATGAGAGAAATAAAAGGGATTTAAAAGGAAAAAGCGAAGTAGAAAAGGAAAAGAGAGGCTATGTTCTCCTCTAACTACAATAACGTTCTTCTTAAAACGTTTTCTTTAACAGGCTTCTGAGATGTCTGAGATCATCGCGGTTTTTCTCACTCTGTTGATTAACAACAAATAACCCTTGTGAACGGTGGTTTTTCTCTGGGGGTGGGACTGCAAACATCTTTAGTGTCTCACATCAGGTATTTCTGAATTGTTTTAACTTCGTTAAAATGGACACGATTTGCTTGTATGTCCTCTGAGAGATAGTTCAAGTCTGAGGGGGAAAAAACTAGGACTTTGGATTCATTAAAAACATATACTGGGCTTCCCTGGTGGCGCAGTGGTTAAGAGTCCGCCTGCCGATGCAGGGGACACGGGTTCGTGCCCCGGTCCGGGAAGATCCCACATGCCGCGGAGTGGCTGGGCCCGTGAGCCATGACCGCTGAGCCTGCGCGTCCGGAGCCTGTGCTTTGCAACGGGAGAGGCCACAACCGTGAGAGGCCCACGTACAGCAAAAAAAAAAAAAAAAAAAAAAAACATATACTGAGGGAAATATTTACATTTAGGAAAATCGTATTACCTCCAGAATTGCCATGATTAATATTTTAATAAGACAATTGCATAACGAGGCAACGTTCAGAGGAAAAACCTTATTTCTGATGTGGTTTGGTGAGTCAGTGGTCTATACACATTTATTCCTTTTTTTTTTTCTCTATATATAGGCTCTGCTTTGTTATCTGTGGCTGCTTTTCCCTTGGAGGGTTTCTACATGGGCACTCACCATATGATTGACAACATACCAAAAAAGGAACAGACCAGGCTGTTTCACGTAGCACTGGTGGCCATCTGCCTCGGCACAGGAGGAATAAGGACCATTGTCTGTCCACTGGGTGCTTACAGCCTTCAGGAGTATGCATTCCAGAAACAAATGTCCTTTTTTAACTGGTAAGTAGCACTGGCTAAGAGAGAAAACAGGCATTCTCGGGAACAGACATTCCTCCCCCTTTGGGCATTTCTCATTGCTTGCTCTCTGGTCCCGTTTTGATGATGGTTGTTCAGCCTTTGTCATTGATTGGGCTGGGTGACAATGGGACAATACCTTTGACAATGATTCAGCCAGTATTCTGGGAGCCTATGAGTCAGGTATAGGCCAACACAGTTTACCAGCACCTTCTTGAAACACACTGATGACTTTATCCTTCAAGTAAACAAGTGTGAGATGGCATGTCATAGTGAATAGAATGTGGCTTTGGAGCCAAACAGGCCTTGGTGGAAATCTCAATTCTACTTCACACAGCTGCCTGACCTTGGTCAAGTCATTTCTTCTTTGAGTTTAACCATTTCTGAAGGGTTATAATAATACCTCTTCCTGGGTTTTATTAGAGGTAATAATATGTGTATTACTGGCAGAGAATGTGGCACATAGTGGTAATCAATAAACAGTAGATATTATTAGTTATGTCTACATTGTAATAGACTAACACGGCAGAGATTATAAATTCAGAAAGATGAAAAGGATGGAAGAAGTATTTTACAATTCGTTAAAACATCAACCAGCATCTCTATTTAACATCCACTTCACCCCCAGCACCTGAAAGAATTTGTATTCCATGGAAATCAAACTACATTTCTATACAGCTTTGTCTCTCTTAGTGAGTTCTTATACAGTTTTATGTGTTTTCAAGGAACCAATTTTTATTATCAAATGCAAATTCAAGGAGAAATTGAGATTTTGATCTCAAGATAGAGTATTTCAGCATTTAGTAGAGAACTCTGTTGTTCTTATTGGCATTCACCAGTTGATGTCAAATATACTGGAGATATATTGTCTTTTGCTTCCTCTTCTCTGTGAAATAGGTTAGTATCATTTTTCTAAAATATTCTGCCATTCCATCAATGTTAGCAATGGATAAAAGCAATGCACAGACAGCATCAGACAAAATGTTTAAAGAAAATTCATATTAAAAGCATTAAATGAAAAAAATTTAGAATAAATATTATCTAGGTACATATAGTTATCTAAGACAGTTCCTTTTTCTTTCTGTTTTTCTTTCTGCTTTCTTTTGTTTCCTTCTTTCTTTCCTTCTTCCCCCCATCCCCCGACTATATTAATATTACAAAGCACTCAGGCCTATTTTGGATTAAGTCCAAACGTCAGAGAATAATGCAGTTTTACCAAAGGTGGAAGGGACTTTTTACTTCCTTACAGCAAATTCTGCCTCCTTGACCTGCCCAAAGGAGAAAGAAAAATCCTTCTTTTTTATTCTATTCGGAGGTTTTAATCCTTAATTAGCAACATCATTTTGATTAAATAAGACTCTGGAGGATTAAGACTAAAGAGCAATCCGTTGTTCTGAAAGATAGCTCTGGAGAATTTATTGTACTGTCGTCTTAGTCATTCAGAGTTGTGTTTAATCAAAGTGACATTTCTCAGTGTTGATTACAAAGGAGACATTATATGAATGAAATATTTCCTTGGGGAAACGGAGGGAACACCCAATGGGTTCGTGCTTTAGGACATTGGAAAGGCGGGGATGAGGAATGAGGTGAAAATGAATTTCTGTAGCCAGGCCAAATTTAGGATGAACACATTTCGATTGGGTTACTTATTATTTCCTGATTTCATTAAAATCTCTGATAAAGGAATCATGCAATATTTTTTAAAGTTAAGCACCGAGAAATGTGTATAAAGAACCAGGGTGTTATTCTTTAATGTGATAAGAGACTGTAGAAATAATAAGCCCCTTGAAGGTTGAATATGGTGGTGGTTGTTTTCTCAGTTCAAATACTAAACTTTTATGAACAGCTGCTTGTTGCACTTTATAGAAATGACTGTTCATTCTATTCTTGTACATAACGCAGGGGTTGGTGGCAAGATGAACAGAGTCCCTGCTGGGCAGCAAGATAGCTGGCAGGATCCTGGCTCTGTCACTTAGGAGTCTTATGGTTTTCGGCAAGTTCCTTCACCTCTCAAAGCACAGAATGGGGATAACTTGGAGGGCTGTTGTGGAGTTCTTACACAAAGTATCCTAGCACATTATAGGCATTCAAATCAGGGTAACTATGACTGTTATTATTAAATGACGAATAAATAAGTCATCAGCTAAAATCATTGTCCAACTTCTGGGAAAGAGGAAGGCCATTTAGGAGAAGGCCGTCTTTAAAATGAGCAGCCCACTGATTTATAATCTATTTCTCCAAGTCAAAAATGCCTCTAGAAATTACAAGCTTGGTTAATATAATGAATTTCAGCAGTGTCTTTAAAAAAGCAACACAGCTAACTTTTGACCACTAATCTCTCCCTACAGAAAGACTTACTACTTTTCAAATTTTTGAATTCAAGTCTTTAGTAATATATTCTTTTTTTTTTTAGGCTCCAGACGCGCAGGCTCAGCGGCCATGGCTCACGGGCCCAGCTGCTCCGCAGCATGTAGGATCCTCCCGGACCGGGGCACGAACCTGTGTCCCCTGCATTGGCAGGCAGACCCCCAACCACTGCGCCACCAGGGAAGCCCTAGTAATATATTCTAATTCAAGTCTCTACTACATATATTTTTCTGGTTTAACGACAGCAGTGCTATGCTTATTAAATCACTTATAAACTGAAAAAAAAAAAAAAAGCAACACAGCACTTGAACCTATAACCACTTGAAGGCTGCATCCAGTTCTGTTTTCAGCACAGATGTCAGCTGTTCATAGTTACGGGACGCTTAATGAGATGTGTCATTGCATCTCTACCACCTAAAGCTTCCCAATGATCATGTGAAATAGTATAGACTGGAAGTCTAAAGCACTGAAAGCACCACTTCCGAGTAGAGCTGCCAAATGTAGGTGAGAAAACCCCTCCCAGCCAACATCACCATCTGGTACTGGATCTTCCTCGACTATGTACCTAACTGAAAGAATAAAGCTAAACTCCCTGAAATCAAGAGGCATAATAATCTGCCAACATCTCCTTGTGCCATCGTCCAGGTCGGAATCTGGCTCTTTCAGCATTTTCCAAAATCTGACATGTACAATAAGAGTTACCATACTGGCGATCATCTAGGTAAATACACCTGTGCAGAATCTTTTCTGGAAACAAAATGAATGGTGAATAATTAAGTCTGTTCATGACCATAATTTTAAATCCTACCACAATTAACCTTAAATCTTGCTTCCTCGTGTCTCTATTTATTTCACCTGATAATTTGCATGCCATCTGCATATCATAGTCTGTCGCTAACCAGTTACCAGAGTGAATTATACATTATTTAAAAGCTCAAATAGTAGATTGGTATAAATTTCTTGAAAAAGTCTAGAGACTGACTTATTCCATCCCAGAAATTTTGAATATCTGGTACTCAGTTTGACTCTACATAATATCTGTCTCATACTAAAGTGTTCTGATTTTTAAAAACTTGCTCAAATTTAATATCTTTTATCTTGGGAAAACACTAGAAGTAAAAAAATTATTATCCCACAGCCTGTTTTCCAAAGCTGTTTTAATATTTACTTGAGTGTTGTTTGAGAGCAGCGATTCTCAATCCCAGATGTCCAAGGAAGCCACCTGAGGACCCTTAAAAAATACTGATGCCTGAGCCCTACCACCAGAAGTTCTGATTATGTTGATTTGAGATGGGCACCAGAGACTAGGATTTTTTTTAAGCTGCCTAAGTAGTAAGGTTTGAGAACCACTGCTCTCGAGCAGCATTGCATGATTTTAAGAATCACTTGAGGGCTTTGTTAAAAAATGTTTCCCATGCCCAACCCCAACCTCCTAGATCAGAATTTCCTGGGAGCATAGCTGGGGAACAAACGGGCATTTTTAGCAAGTGCTTCAGAATTTTGAAAACAGTTCCAGAGACATAAGGAAAGTGGATTCCAAACGTGGTCTAGAAATATTCTTGAAAAGAAATGGAGCTAAACATTGAGGGAAGCACCTATTTCATACCAGGATGCTTCAGAAATTTTTGATGATTCCCACAATTTTTACCACACTTAGAAATCTACCCGTTTGAGAAATTCTACCTAATCCTTGAGAAAAGAAACAAAATATGAATTTACATAATTCTGCAATAGTAAAATCATAATTTCAGCTAACGAAATCGAAACAGTTCATGGAATAGTCTTACTAGTACTCATTAACACAGGCATAGCTCGTTAAATTGCTTGGCTTTATTGTGCTTCACAGTGATAAAAGTTTTTAATTTTATAAATTTTTATAAATTTTAAATTTTGTAAAATTTACAGAAAGTTTGCAGCAACTCCATGTCCAGCAAGTCTATCAGCGGCCTTTTTCCAAAAGCATTTGCTCACTTCATGTCTCTGTGAAGCATCTGGTAATTCTCACACTATGCAAACTTCATTATTATTATATTTATCATGGTGACCTGTGATCAGTGATCTCTGATGTTACTACCACCATGCGCTGAAGGCTCAGATGATGGTTAGCATTTTTTGCAATAAAGTATTTTTAATTAAGACATGCATGTTATCTTTTTAGACATAATGCTATTGCACATTTAGTACATTACAATAGAGTGTAAACATAACTTTTATATATACTGGGAAACCGAAAACTTTGTGCAACCTGTTATACCTCGGTGGCCTAGAACCGGACCCATAGTATCTCTGAGGTATGCTTGCACTCAGAATATCCTCTAAGTTGCATATACTGAGGAATAGCTTGTAAGTAGCTTTCTAAAAAATCACTAGACCTTCCAAAATTCTATTTTCATGGGCTCTAGCCAAGTTTAACAAATGCTACCCACTCACCCCAATTACAACAGGCACCTCCTTCATTATCTTGGCCAGAATTGTAAACTTTCAGAAAATACACTCAGAATACCTCTCCAACATATAACCATGTAAACTAAAAAGTATTGGGGAAAGAAAAAAACAAAGAAATTTCTTACTGATCCTACAGCCTACTGCTTTTTTTAAAGCCCTGCTTGGTAGCTTTTAAGCTTGGTAGGTGCATCAGCAGGGACTTATTTTTATCAATAAACACGCAGTGGTTCAAAGATCTTAAACTCAGGAAATGAGAAAATGATACACATTGTTAGAAAGAACAAAATTCAACGGCAGAAATTTGAAGACCTAATAGGCTTTATTAGGCGATTCATGAATTGGACAGCATCCCATCCAGCAACTACAAGGGTGCTCTGAAGGGTTGTACAAAATGGAAGGTTTTTATAGAAGAAGGGTAGGGCAAGGGAGCTATTCGCAAAAGAAAAGGAAGCATTATTTTTAGGCGAGGGTATCTTCTTTTTGGGGAGGTGGGGTGGGGAGGGAAAGGCAAGGGTTTTACCACGTAGATTGCCTCTCCTTCTGGGGGATGGAGAGGGCCCACATGACAGATGACCTCATTGATGCCGACCAGAAAATTCCAGACTGGTTGATTAAGATTACATTTCTGGAGAAGCTCGAAACTGCAATTAAGTCCTGTATCTAAGCCTAGGTTTGGTATCATGGGCTTTAGCACAAGTGACGCCATTTGGGGCCTGTGGTTTTCTCTTCAACAACATAAACAACTGTTAAAATTGGGATTTGGCAGAAGACAGGGGAACAAAGACAGAAAGGGAACGAGAGCAAGTTAAAGGAGTGACACAGGCAGGGAGGGCAGGAGAAAGAGAGTGAAGCATTCCCCCCCAATTTCTTAATTAAAAGTAAACCTTTTACTTTAATCATGCTGTCGATTCAGCAAAATCAATTATCTTCCTTTATTAAGCCGTCTTTTCTTTAATAGCATTGTTGAAAAATGTTTATAGATAAAAAGTAGGAAAAAATGATATAAATGACCTGATTTACAAAACGGAAACAGACTCACAGATTTCGAAAACAAACTTATGGTTGCCAAAGGGGAAATGTGGAAGGAGGGATAAATTAGGAGCTTGGGAGTAACATACACACACTACTATATATAAAATCATCAACAAGGGCCTACGGTATAGCACAGGGAACTCTACTCAGTACTCTGTAATAACCTATATGGGAAAAGACTCTCAGAAAGAATGAGTATATGCACATGTATAACTGAATCACTATGCTGTACACCTGAAACTAATGCAATCATTATACTCCAATAAATTTTTTTTTAAAAAGTAGGAAATGCAAAATTTCCTTCTGGTCCTTCTTTCTCCAAATTCTTGTCAGCTAGAATATTCTTTGAAGTACTTCAGTGGGCCAGTGGTTATGCTAAAAGAAGCAATGATTGACAACAGCCATCCACCATGAAATCAGCGCCCCAGTGTTTCATTGACTCTTCTAAACAGTTCAATTTTGGCCCATTGAAGAACCACAAATCCCCTGGTGAATTATCTCAATATTTTTCAAGGCAGAATAAAATATTCTGTTTTAACTCTTTTTTTTTTTTTGCGGTACATGGGCCTCTCACTGCTGTGACCTCTTCCATTGCGGAGCACAGGCTCCGGACACGGCATGTGGGTCCCTCCTGGACCAGAGCACGAACCCGAGTCCGCTGCATCAGCAGGCGGACTCTCAACCACTGCGCCACCAGGGAAGCCCTGTTTGAACTCTTAAAATTGTCCACTAAGGCTATGAAGACCCAGAAGTTTTTCTCCCCTCTTTAATACCTTCTCAAGTAGGTTGGAAAGCCCATTTCAAACTATTTCTCTTATAATCACTTAAAATAAGTCTGAAGCATGTCAAAATTGGTCAGTCTAAGAAGTGACAGAATATTTGAGTGACTTTAAAAACTATTACTAAATAAATTAAGGTGAATGTTTAAAATAAATAATCTCAAAAGGTTTTCTGAATTTTGCAGCAATAGGGTTTTTTCCCCCTTATTTGTATTCAACACCATAGAATCATGAAGACCAAAAAAAAAAAAAATTACCACTTATATATACCCCCAATTATTTGCAGTTCCCAGTCTGTATTTAAAAGTAAACTAAAGAAACATATTTTTACTGCTGCTTTCAATTTTCCTTAATCACTGGTATTTGTTCTGCTTTAGTGCTTTGCTCTCTGACTTTCTGTGTGAGAGGTGCTTTATATATTCAATTTGCTGGTGAGCTATGAGATGAAAGGAGTCTTAATGGTGAGTTTGAAGACTGTGGATTTTTATTTCTTTTATTTTTTTACAGTTGAGACATATACAGTTTCACCCTTAATTATCTATGGCTTGTCCTGTCCATGGATCAGCAAAGATTATATAAAACATGACTGTACTAGGTAATTCTTCCAGAAAATTACACAATCAAATAGG